ACAAGGATAGCGCAGTTAGAGTTAGACATTGTATTGTATTAGAGGTAAGGTTTAATATAGTTATATAATCGGTAGTTGTGCGTTTAATTTAGCGCGGACTAAACGGCTTATTAGACCTACTAAGTTAGTAGTAATATAGGTTAAGACTAGAACAAAGACCGGCTACGAGGGCGCGGCCTTTAGAAGGGAAGCGTATATTAGGACTAAAGAGGTTATACGTAATTAGTATGTAACCGGGCTCGAGTAAAGCTAGGGTCTCGATACCTTAGGTAGGGCTTAGCGCTTAGCAGTAGGCTAACTAGCCTACCTTCCTCCTTCTCCTCCTAGTTCTCTATTAAATACTACCTATACCTACTACTACCCTATCTACCTGCTAATATAACCCTTCTTATATATTCTCGCTCGAAAATTTATAAAAGCAATACTCTATACCCTACCCGCTTAACCTAAGCCCCTCGTAGGTACCTCCGATACCTTTCGAAAATCCCTTAGCGGACTTTATAGCTAAGGAAGATTAGACGCTAAAACTTCGTACTAAGATACTCCTTGCTAATCGCCTTAAAGTACTACTACTCTATCTCCCTATCGATAGTTATATTCTAACCCTCGGCGGTTAGATCGACTAAGCGTCCCTTCGAGAAAGCCTCCTAAGCCGCCTAATAGTTAGCCTTTAGCTAGTTATTGTAATTCGACTAATCCTAGCTAGAGGGTTCGCAGTTAAGGAGATTGTCGTTCTTTAGACGAAGGCGGATACGGTTATAGCCTACCTATATCTTATCGGCGTAGTTGCGCTAATCCGCCTTACGGCGAAGGGTATCTTAATAAAGAGCGCTATAGTTATTAATACTTACCTTAGCGCGGCGACGGAGGTACTCGAGAAAATTAGCTATACGCTATATTATAGGAGGGATCTATATAGCGGATTAGCGGGTGCCTCTAGGGCGCCTCGTAGGTAACACTTATAGGCTTATAACCCTAACCCTATATAGGTCTATATCGGCTATACTTTATATCTTCCTTAAATTCGTAGCTATCTAGTATAGAGAGCTACTTACCGATAGTTATTTTATTCGTACCGATATTCTAGCTCCTACGGACGTACTCGAGGTAGATAGCGCAGCTAGTACGAAGCTCTAGGCGAGGTTCGAGAACCGGACTTACTCTATAGAAGTTAAATAGGACGTCCTTAGAAGGGGTATTAGCCTCGCTATCGATATAGAGGCAGCTATCGTTATAGTGCTCTAAGGGGCTACCGCGACCTAAGGTCTTCTAAGCGTATATAAACGAGTTGTCCGAAGTACTACGCGGTATACCGCTACCGCCTTAATTAATAGGAGTAAAGTTATAGCCGCTACTACTACCGGAACCTAAAGCTATAATAAAAGAGTCAGCGAGAGTTAGCTCTTATAACAATAGCGGTAATAGTAGTACTTAAGAGGTATTAGCCTTAGTGTTTAAGGGACTAGAGGAAGTATATCGGAGCGGAGTAGTATCGAGCGGGCGATCTAATACTAGTTAGTATTAATAAAAAGAAGAAGAAGGTTGTTTAACGAAACGCGCGCTTTTAACTCTAGCGACCTATACTTACTTCGCGTATAGACGCTTCTAGTACCTTATAGGCACCTCGGCGGTAACTCTAATAGGTCGCGAGTAAAGCGTATATAACGCAAGTAACGCAAAGGGTCGGCGTAACAAATATACCCTTATTAATCGTTATCCCTAGTAAAAACTAAGCGTACCGACCTCGACTACTTCTACGCTTTAGCGTATAAGCACTCTTTATGTTTCCTAGGGAAACTATAGTGTTTAGTAGATATCGAGGGCGAAATTAGGAGAAGGAGAAAGTAGAAGAAAAATACGCGATTATCTAATTCCTAGTAGTAAACAAACCCCGTATATAAAAGTTCCCTAAGTAAAGGAGCAAGTACCGCAAAGGCACCGTAACCCTACCTTAAAGGTAATAGGAATAAATAGTACGTTCTAAGGCTAAGCCTAATAAGCGTAACCGCCGAGCGGATACCTATATATACGGCAACGACTACGCCTTAGCGAATAACTCTTTAGTCGTTTAGCGCTTGCCGTCGATGCTAGAGGTTTCTACTAGAAGTAGGGTAAAGGTCTATATAGGACTACTCCCTAGCGCCCTACTTTTCTTAGGCGTAAGCCCTATATAGAGGCACCTTAGAGGTACCTCTATCCTACTATCGACGTTCTATAGCAATATTTCTACTACTAGACCGCGTATCGCTATACTAACCTAGTAGCGGCGCGGGAAAGCGCAAGTAGTAGAGGAGGTAGCGACGCGGGAAAAACATATAACCTAAGGATAGGCTATCGAGGGGGGGGGATACTATAAGGGAATACCCTTCTATACCGCCGAGACCCTTACTAGGTACCTATAAGGTACCCTAGAGGTACCTCGCCGGTAACCCCGAGTTACCTAACTCTTAGTACTATAGGATAAGGCGCCTATTCCTACCTCGAGAATCGCTCGTTCCTTAGGCGATATCGTTAAATACTAAGACTACTATTTACTCGTATTAATACTCCCTATATACTACTTCCTTATAGGAGTATATAAATTTCTAGAAACGGTCGAAATTTAAGCCTAGTAACTAGTATTATAACTAATCGTATCGAAAGCAGTACTAACTATACTAAAGAATTCGCCTTCTAACTAAGTTCCTTACTAATTATAGAACTAAAGATTACTCCGAGGGCTGTATATAATATACCCGATTTAATACTCCTCTATTAAGTCTAATACTTCGGTTACGCGAATATCTACGTACTAGCGGCTATTAATTTCTAATGTCTAACGCTTCTAATACCTACGAGACAGTTCTATCGCTATCGTAGCCGTCGTTACTGTCTCCTATCGGCGTAAGAACGTTAGTAACGAGGTTATCGTCTAAATCTAAGCTAAAGTCGGTAACTTGCGACAACTGCGAAGGAACGAGAGGTACGTATCTAATACGGCTAATAAAAAGCGCTCTTAGCTCGTTAAATTAACGTACCGTAGACGCGTATATTAGCTTTATACGCTTCTTAGAGCGGTTATCGATATCGTCTATTCGGCGGATTAAATAGTAGTTATTCGTTAGCTTAGAATAGGCAGTTCTTAGCTAGTTTGCTAGTATAGTAATCGCCTCTCGAAATGGCTCTAATACTCGACTTAACGACCTCTCCTTATTTAGCTGCTTCTTACTATTAATATATAGCCGACGGCGCGTCGAATACTATATTATAGTAGGAGGTATATTAGCAGCATTAGAAGGAGCCGGATTTAGTAATAAAGTCGAAGGTAATAGGGCTATAATAACTAGGCGCGGTAACGATAGACTTATAATAGCTACTAGATCCTAAAGCCGCTACGATATAATACGGAGTATATTATCTTAGACCTACTAAGCCGGAGTCTCGTAAGCACGTAACTCCTTAGTAGTAAGTAGCTTATTACAGAGCTTCTTATTGTTATATAATGTAGTGTCCTTAAAGCGATTAAGTATCTGTTTAAACTTAGAGTCGTTAATAACAATACTAGAGGTAGTAAGAAGGACTCTATACTTAAGAATACGCTTTGTAATCTACCTACGAATAAGGCTGTCTATGCCTCGGATAGTACGTTATCTAGCAGGTCGATTGTCGTTATACTACTTCTAATAGCGCTTTATTATATCTCTTATTCGTCCTTTTGTATAATAGCTAGAGTTAGCCTCGAAGTGCTTAATAATTAGTAAGGCGAAGTCGTTAGAAATCTTACTATCGCTATTAACTCGATTATAGTCGTATTCTATACTTTCTTCTATACCTTTAGTAGAAGACTAAGAGTCGCTTAAATCTAGTATAGGTTGTTAGACTATAACCTATTATTGTCGCTCCGAATGCCGCTAAAGGTAAGCCGTTAAGGAGGTGTCTATACCTCTAATAACGACTAGCCTAGGTAGAGTTGAATTTAGTATCTAATTAGTAGCAATACTACTATCGCTGTCGCTATAGTTTAAATTAGTTAACAAGCTCGCTATAGACATAGAGCGGCTATATAGTAGCTACTTAGCTAACTAGATTGTAGGTAATAGACTTCCGATTAAATACCGTAGCGCTAGTAAGAATAAGGAGACATCTATATAAAAAGGGTTACCTTAAAGAGCTACGTAGATAGGTATAGGCAGTGCCTACGGTAGATAGACTAGTATAGTAAATGCTAGTATTAAAGAGCCGGAGCTAAGGTCGATAATACGAGAGGGATAAGAGGGGGTATCTATAGTAGCTATAATCGAGAATAATAGTAGTTATACTAATAAACTAAGACTTATACTACTTCCGTAGATACCTCTTATTCTATAGACGATATACTATAATTAATCCTTAATTAATCCTCGAATTTAGGTTCTATTTACTAGCCCCTATTACTAATTATACTAACGGCTATATACCTAGACCTTTATATATATAAGCTAGTACCCTCTCGTACTATCTCGAAGACCTAATAGCTACTTTCTACCTTACTATCGCCGGTTATAGTATATAGCTTATTCGGTAGTGCTAAGAAGCTAATTTAATAAGCTAAGCCGGATAGGGTTTAAGCCCCCTTCTACCTCCTTCTACTTCTAGTTAAGGTAGGATTACTACCTATACGAGTTGTAAATATAGCGTATTATATACTTTTAAACGACTCCGTTTAAAAGCACGGTCTAGGCCTACGAGTTAATAACTCGTAGGGGTAGAAAACTAGCCTTCGAAGGATGCGGCAGTAACCCTCGTATCCACCTTGTTCGCCGACCTCGAGAGACCCCTGCAAATTGGTGGCTTCTGAAGGTCCCTAGTGTAGAGTGCTGCCGGATAAGATTCCGATCCAGCTACACGGGGTCGCGGGTAAAGCCGAACTGACACCTAAGGCCACACACGAGTGTTCGGGTAAAGCCGGACTGACACCTGAGGCCAGCACAGCTCGCTTCCATTCCAGCTCACCACATCCATCACTCTTCATGCACACCACCATCAGACTGAATGCTGCCTCGCGTCCGCCATCCAGGACGCGGTAGCAGCATACCAAAATGCTTCAAAACCAAACATGAAGACTCCAGCAAGCGCTTTCTCAGCACCAAAAAAGAACCTCAAAAAGTCATCTTCTCGGGAATCCAACCGACCGGAGTCCCTCACTTAGGAAACTACCTAGGTGCACTGCACCAATGGGTCCAACTCCAAAATACTTCCCCTCCATTCACAAAACTAATATACTCCCTCGTCGATCTCCACGCCATAACAATCCGTCAAAACCCCTCCCAACTTCGAAAATGGAGAAAAGAATCCCTCGCAATCCTGCTCGCCATAGGTCTCGACCCATCCCGAAGCATAATTTTCCATCAATCCGACGTTTCCGCGCACGCAGAATTGATGTGGATTCTATCCTGCCAGGCTTCGACGGGGTATTTAGGGAGGATGACGCAATGGAAAGAGAAAATTTCCAACGATAAAGACGGAAATGAGAGATTGAAATTGGGATTATTCTCCTACCCGGTTTTGCAAGCTGCAGATGTGTTGGTTCATCAAACGACACATGTACCTGTCGGACATGATCAGGCGCAGCATTTGGAATTTGCGAGAGAGGTGGCGAGTGGGTTTAATCATGTGTATGGAGCTGGGATTTTGACACCGCCGGAGACGATTATCAGTCCGGCGAGGAGAGTCATGTCGTTGGCGAAAGCTACGTCTAAGATGTCCAAGTCGGATCAGAATTCGAAGTCGAGGATTTTGCTGACGGATTCTGGGGAGACGATTCGAGCGAAGGTTAAATCTGCGGTGACGGATTCTGTGGAGGGAATTTCGTATGATCCCGAGAACAGACCTGGGGTTGCGAATTTGATTGATATCATGTTCTATTCGATGGGAAGTGAGGCTGGTGGTTCGCCGCAGGATCTTGCGAGAGAGATGGAAGGAATGCATTTGAAGGTCTTGAAGGAACGTACTGCTGATGCTGTAGATAAGCTGGTCGCGCCTGTGAGGGAGAGATATGCTGTGATCATCGAAGATGAAAAGCTGCTTGAGGAGGTTGCTCAGAACGGCGCAGAGAAGGCTCGCGCTAGTGCATTGCAGACTATGGAAAAGGTGCGAAGGGCAATCGGACTCGCATGAGCCTGATGCACATTCTGTCTGACGCTGTCATCGCGCTTCTTCAGCCGGTGTTGTCCATTTCCATCGCATCTGCTCTACCCTCGTCTGCTTCAAATGGCTTCTGCGCCCACACAAAGTCCCTGTGAATTATGTCAGCATTATGTCGCAGACTCTGGTTGCAATCGACTGACATTGGCAGATAGACATGCATCTTGCCCTCCTTCAGCTCCCCTTTGATATCATCAATGAGCTTGAAGACATCCTCCGATTTCCAGCCCAGCAGCTTCGTGAACATTCTCATACTGACGCCTTCCAGCGCATCAATCATATCCTGCTGGAATAACGTGCTGCAGGATCACACGTTAGCACAAGCAGTATAATACGTAGGTACTGCTCACCCTATCTTCTTCTTCTTCTTTCCCTTCACCCAATTGCCTACTGGCCACTTACTACCCAGATACTGCACGTCCACGAATCCCATGTCTTTCATCAAATCCGGCGCTCTCAGAATCGCATCAAGCTTTGTACCCGCCTTCTCGCTCGCCGCCGTGATGCCATCATTCCAGAGCTTGAAGTTGGGACCGAACTTTTCGATCGTCCCATCGTCGGATTTGAATGGCCAGTGGTATTCCTGAAACTCGACCCAACCTCCAGGCTCAAGATGATTCCAGACTTCCGTCAGGAGTTTGTTCCAGTCTTTGATTCCGACTTGAAGGCTGCGAGAGTGGATGTAGTCAAACTTGGTTGGGTAAAGCCAGTCTGATGTCACATCATCGATGAGGAATTCGACGTTGGGTGGTACGAGAGTCTGTACAACAAATTAGATTTTGCAGAGATATAAAAATTCACATTCAAGACTCGCCGGCTGAATGGGTGAAAGGTCAGTGCCGATTACATGGCATTCTGGATGCGACTCCGCGAAATCTATGGCCCAGGCGCCCGTACCACAGCCAATGTCTAACGCGTTGCGGGCATCTACACTACTGATCGGTGCAAGACCTGCTCTGTCGCTGAGGAAGATCCTCCAAATCTTGTGCTGGAGCTCGAGTCGTTTAATCTCATCGTCGTCGTTTGGGAGAGGATATCTGTCTTCGGAGAAAGCATTGTATCGACGTCCGTATTCGTACTTGTAATCGGTGACGGTGGAGTTGATCGACGTTGTGACTCTGAATGAATCGTCAGTAGGTTGCAATTGCGAAGAAGTTGATTGCTCTCACGATTCCAGCTCGTCGCCAAGCGTAGAGTCCGTGTCGTCCTGTTTATGATAGAACTGGCTCAGCTTCGACATTTCAACACTAGCCGATCTGACTTCTGCTCAATGTGAGCTTTGGATGGAGTAAACGTTGCATCTACCTCTAGATGTTCAAAGCTCCGAATATCCACCGCCGTAGCCTGAGAAAAAGAAGGCTCTCGTCTATGCCCGGCATTACCTGCAAATGCCGCATCGGTACCTGCATCAGCTCCACTGCCGCCTTGTGTACCAGAAGCTGACGGAGGATTGGAGGATGACATAACGGCAGTATGAAGAAGCTGATTTTAGATATACGATGTTACACATATGAAGAACAGGGGTTAAGGACAAGGAGATGAGGCTGGCAGATGTGTCGCGTTTGGAAGGATGAGCTTGGAGCTGCACGCTGGGGTGTTTTCTGTGCCGCATGCAGTGCTTGCATCGGCGTGTCCTGAGCGGGCGGGTGTGCATCTTGGTGTTCAGATTGGGCAGAACTGCGTGGGCTGCTAGAAAGTCGTATTTCTATGGTCCATGACAGTCCATAAGACTTTCCCGTGCCCAGGCAAAAGCTGATGCAAGACGGAGCTCCATACATACCAGAGGCTCAATGGCTTCACTTGAGCCTATTGTCGCTTCCTATTCTTCTTACACCTTCCTCACCAACCTCACTATACCTATTATCGCGACAAACCTCACTCAGACTCGCTACACTTCCGCGCCTTGCCTCGCAATGTTCTTCTTCTATCGACACCGACACCGACACCGACACCGACAGCGACAGCGACAGCAGCAGCCGCTATGACTGGTATTCCGCGCGACCTCATTCTTAGCGCAGCTTCAGCAGCATTAGCTTCAGCATTAGCTTTAGCTTTAGCTTTAGCTTTAGCTTCAGCTTCAGCAGCGCACTCACTAGTAGGAGGAGGAGAATATTCATCGTAAGTCGCGAGGCGCATCGCTATAGACTCGCTACTAACTCGCTCTAGACTTCGACGCCCTACGACTACAAACACCTACGATTTCTAGTACTGCAGCGCGCAGACATAGTAAGAGCTACTCGATTAGACAGCGATACCGGATAAGAAGAAGGCGGCATTAAACAGACTGCGGAAATATAAGGCTACTAGAATTATTATAGAAACGGACTCTAGCAAGCTTGCACTAGCGCTATGCTACTACTGTATACGCTCTAATAACTTTAAGTGTCGTATACTTAATGCTAAGGGCGAGCGTGTCTACGCTTATTGTAAGTGTAAGGGCAAGTCTAGCTGTACGGCTAGTATAGAAGAGGTTGAAGAAGACGATAGAAACAGCGAGCTAGCCGCGATGCAGGCGCGAGTCGAGGCCGCAGAGGCAAAGAATACTAAACTAGAGGCAAAGATTAAGGCATTAGAAGCTAGGTTCGATAAGTTAGAAGGATATTGCCTCTCGTAGTTCAAATAGCTTAAGAATGAGGCTATTATTAAGTCTAAGGATGTGTATACGATATAGAAGGAGCTATAGCTAAATAGCGATCGCGAGCCACTAGTAGATAATGTTTAAGGAGCGAGTCTACAGCGAGTCTACTACGAGTCTGCTATTCTATCTCTTCTTCTTTAGTCGTTAACTGCGCTTTATCTTCTTAGCCTCTCCGCCGCTATTAGCCTCTTCGCCGCTATTAGCCTGTCTACCGCTATTAGCCTGTCTACCGCTATTAGCCTGTCTACCGCTATTAGCCTGTCTACCGCCATTAGCCTGTCTACCGCCATTAGCAGCCTGTCTATTAGTAGGTTGCTAATCCTTCGATTCGCGCGACCCTTTCGGAGTAGGCGTGCCTCGCGGTGCACTCGCGGTAGCATCGCCGCTTAAGTCAATTATCTTAGGCGGCTAATTCGTATCGATAACCTTCTTAGTCTATAGCTTTTCTTTCTTAATCTTAATGCTGTTAACTACCTTTTGCTAACTCGCTATATTACTCGCACTAGTACTCGTAGTAACAGTACTTAACCGATGTTTCCGCTTTTGTTATTGCTGCTTCTCCTACTTAGTCTAGATATAGAGCTTAATCTCGTAGACTAATAATAACTTTGTTGCTAGTTTATAGACTATTAAAGCCTATCTGAGTGATCGAAGCGCCTTACTTGCTAGCTTCTCTAGTTGATTAGTTGCTTTATTGAAGTCTATATAGAGGAAGTAGTTATAATAGTCCTAGGTCCGATCGATACTACTATCTAGTAGCTCGCAGGCGTCAATCCGGTCGACAATCTAGTCTGTAAACGTTATCTCGGCTTCGAGGAATTCTTAGTTAGACTAGGCATCCGTAATAGTAGTATATAGGTTAGGTTCACTATAGAACTATATCTCAGTTGTACTCGTAAGCTTAACTTCTATATGCTGAGTATAGATCAAATAGCGGCAATGGTATGCCTGTGCTTTAAGGTCTAATAAAGCTAAAGCTGAAGCTAAAGCAGGTGTTAGTAGACGTTGCGAGAGGCTCCGAGATCCAGCATTTAGTATTCGAGTTATTAGCTTATGAAACTGACTAGCAGCATTGCGTGCAGCATTAGCCGCCTCAGGTATAGAGGGGAACGTATTGAAGCCTCGTACCGTACTCGCGGAGCTACTCGCAGCGGCGGCCACTAATTGCTCGCGAACAAATTGCTCGCTTAGTGGATCGGGATTAAGAAGGCCGCATTGTAAACAGTATCGGTATTTACTATACATCTTTGCATAGTCGACGCCTGATTTAGTGCAATAGGTGCCCCAATTAGTAGGCATTATTAGATAAATAGAGGTAGAAATAGCAGAGGTTTGAGAAGGTTATAGATAAAATCGAACTAGAAAAAGCGACTCGCTATATACTCGCGGCCGGCTCGTAGATCGGAGATTAGTATACATTATTTGCAAACTCAATTAACCTAGCTTCCTAATTCCGAGCCGCCGCTGACTAACTACGTACTGCTAATAGCTTATCCAACTCTATTAGTTCCGGCTCTAACCCTATAGCTATATACTCCCTAGCTAGCCCTCGAAGAAGCAAGTAGGCAGAGCGGTAAAGGCGCTCTACATTATCGCTATTCTCGCTACTACTTACTGGATACGAGAAGCTATGAATCCATAATACTATCTTACACTAAGAAAGCGTAGCCTCGGGCAGGTAGGCTTCAAGATCTAGGAATTAGCGAGTCTATTAGCGAGTCTGTAGCGAGTCTGTACTATAGAATCTAATATATACCGAATCCTTGAAGGTCTTGCTCTATATCATTAAGTGCGCCGTTAGGTATAGGAATACCTTGATAAGAATGCCCGCTAAGCTCTAGATAATAGTGTAGAATATGCGGAATACCTAGCACAACGTGTAGTCGATTAGCCTGCTTCCGGATACGATGGCTATTCTAGAGGTAAACAAATTCGAGGACTTTATAACGCATAATTGGTATATAGATTGTAAGGAAGGCAATCCGATCCGCTAGCAGTTTAGCATCGTGTAGTGACTCGCGTAGTAACTCGTAGAAATAGCCCCTCTAGCTATTTAGTGCAGGTGCTTGCTAACGCTACTATGCCTTAATCCGCTAGTTTATCTTACTCGTACCGTATTTGAAGCAGTCCTCGAAGGCTAGCGGTTGTTCCGGGTCACTACGAGTCGCAAGGCGAGTCTTATAGTAAGCATCCGCGGCTAGAATCGTCTCTGCCCTACGGTCTAATCGAATAATCTGTAGCATTACACTACTATTCCGGATCGTTGTAAGGTATTAAGCTAGTATAGAGACAGCTGTCCGGCTAGTGATGCCTATATAGATCTAGACAATGTAACGCGAGTGAATATCAATCGCTGCGTAGATCTATATCCCCCAATGCTCGAATTTATAGTAAGCATCTATTAATATTGCGTAACTAGGGCCGGGTGTAATAATCGCTCTATAGTGCTCTCGCGCCCGCTCGCGGCGGACTCGCAACCCTTTAGGATTTAGTAAGGAAGCTATACGATATAGCCGATCTCTACTAATAATGTTGTATTTGGACCTGATATAGGTATATAGGTGCCGTTAGCTAAAGGACTCTACTATAGACTTCTCGAGCTCTTCCTATAAGACCTCTGCTATCTATTCTTCCGCTTCTGTCTATCTATCTATTAATAATGCCTTCTTTAATCTAAGCTCTTAACGTATCCGTTAATACCTCCGCTGGCTAATCTCAAACCTATCCGCCTATAGTACTCGAACCGCCTCTTTATTAGTCAACCGTAGAACGTAGAAGGTGTATACGACCCGGATCTTTAGTGCCTTAATATCGTTGACTCGGTAATAGTAAGTAGAGTGGCTATAATCAATGTTCTACTCTTTAAGCCTTCGTTTAAGTGTATTGAGAGATATCTAATAACCGGTCTCTTATATAAGGTGCTGTACGATTGCTTCTCGTGTAGTGCCGCCGTAGACTTGAGATATTATCTAAGCCTTCTATAGCGATAAATCGATACGTAGAGGCATTCTGCGAGTCGATAGCGAGTATAGTGCGAGTCGTAGAAGGTCAAACACGAAGAATTAGGTAGGAATGGCGGTGAGAAGTATGAGAAACCCCGCATTGAGCCTCTGGTATGTATGGGCCTCCCTAATGCAAGAAGTTACTCATCACACGAGTACTGCCGAGAAGGAGCTTGTGGTATGGAATCCTCTTCACCTTTGGCCAGATGCTCTCGTGCGATGGGCGGTAGGTAGATGTAGGTGGTATACAGGAGTCGCTCATTATGAGTGTACGACTAGCTGCGAGATTCTGATGCTATTGCCGTCTGTAGAAGGAAGTGCGATGGTGGCAATTTTCGGTTGGAGTTTGCCTCGGAAAGAAAAGCGGCTTCCTGGCAGCTTTCAGCATGCCCTCCGCGTCGCTTCCAATCTTTTGGCATGCAAGAGCTGGTCTCCAATGCATCCTATACGAGGTGCAGTGCTCCCCGCCGTCTTTCTTGCCTCATGAAATCGTAAGCTATGGGGCTGCCATACAAATACACCAACCCTTACTCCCCTCGCATGCCGTTTGGCTCTGCGGAAACCGATCCCACCGCCGCGAACGACGACATGGCTCCTGCAGACACGAAAGCAACCTTCATGCGAATACCTTGGATCGCTCGTAAGATCAATCAACCTGGCATCGTGTGTCGGGTATCGAATGGGCGAATGCCGAAACCGGATGGAGAAGATTCATTATGGGCAGAGATCCTCAAGACTCCGAGAACTATACGAAGCACGATAAGCTTCTATAAGAAGCCGGAGAACGATGATGATCCTGTACCAGAAGTCACAACTGTTTTGACTGTTGGAAATGGCATGAATGGGCATACGGACATGATACACGGCGGTATCACAGCAACGATATTGGACGAATGCATGGGGATATGCCAGTCTATCAACATTGAAAGAACACACATAGCCGCTGTAAAGCGTGGAAAAGCATTTGGAGAGTTACCGCCGCATGATGTTACCGCCTTCACGAGAGAGCTGAAAATCACCTATCTTCTTCCAGTCCGCACACCTGGAGCCATCATGGTGACAACAAGACGGGTGAAGAAAGAGGGTAGGAAAGAATGGCTTGCTGGCGAGCTTAAGCAATGTACTGGCAATGGTGAAGACGACGATGGTGAAATTGTTGTGTGTGCGACTGGCGAAGCGCTCTTCCTCGAACCAAGGCCGAGCAAGATTTGAAGTACGATATCATCTTCCAAACAGTGACTACTCAAGAGCAAGGCACATGCTGCGGAGAGGAGTGAGAGTATTCTACTTTGCTTGCTTTGCACTCGCATACACCACACAGCAGTCACAACATTGTCTTTAGAAACATCACAACGCATGTTTCCCGGCCATACTCCGAGCACCAAGAGGTGTTCCTAGAAGCACTGCGCAAGCATGAATCTGTAACAAGTCTTCATCCGGTGTATCCTGCTGGAAACTCAGGAACGAATGAGATGGCCTTACCTCATATCTACAGCAACGAGTGGGACGAACTCACCAGATGTCTTCCTGACCAGGTGAGCTTCAGGTGAAGGGTCGATTCATGCAAGGGCACGACCCAGGGGTTCATGGAAACTTTAATCGCATTTGTAAGTGAAAGCTATTTTATAGGCTTCGTCGGTACTGCCACTGGGACTTCAGGCCCGTCACCTTCGAGCCTCCTTGCGAGCTCTATTCTCATTGCCGAGTCGTCTGTCTTCAAATATGTGCCCTTTCCGGTTATAAACCAAAATCCAAGAGCGATGACCAGCATGACTCCGAAGACAGCAATAGCGAAGTTCATGTCACTAGGTGTTGGGTTTGGTGTGCCCGGGAAGAAGAAGAACACCGTGGTGACGCTGCAGTAGACGACGGAAATCCAGTTGCACAAAGGACCATACTTGCCGAGACTGAACTGGCCACCTGGAGGCAGCTTGTCGCGACCGACAATTAGCAGACACCCAATGGGCATCCCGTAAGAAATCGTCAGAGCAATCGTGCTCACGCTCAAGACGGCCTCTAGGACAGTGTTGGCGAAGAGGTAGAGAACACCGATCAATGCGATGATAAATCCTTGCAGCCACAGCGCTCTCGCCGGAACCTTCCATGTAGGATTGACTGCTGCAAAGTACTGGCTCCAAGGAATGCCGCCGTCTCTCGCAAAACCCCAGGTCAATCTACTTCCAGTAGTTGCGATGCTGACGCCCTGGCCGAGCCCATTGAAAATGAATAGGGCAATGAGAGTAGCGCCACCCTCCAAGCCAACAGTTTGTTGCACCAACTCAATGAATGGCAATCCCGTGGGCCCGTCTTCGACTGTCGCCAGATCCTGAATGCAGAAGAGGCAGACGACCATGAAGATGAATCCAGTGATTGCTCCCAAAAGGACTGCAAGCCAGATGACCCTAGGGGCATTCTTCCTCGGAGCTGGAATCTCCTCTACCAAGTGAATCACCGAATCGAAAGCCGTAAGCCCATACGCAGATTGCAAGAGTCCCAGGAACCAGACCACACCATTACTCCACCCTGTCTGATTTATCCAGTCTCCGAACACGAACCCCGCAGACTGATACGCCATGTTCCTCTTGATCCCGACGGATATCAGCAGCGCAAGTGCGAAGACGAAGAACAAGCCCACAAACCCAACACCCACAGCATTATTGAACATCGGCAAGAACTTATCTCTTCGACACGCGATCAAATTTACCACGGTGAAAAGAGCTGTGATTCCCACGATACCAGAAACTGCACCCAA